AAAAAAAAAAAAAAAAGAAAAAAAAAAGGTTAAGAGAGGGGGAGGGAGTTTTCTCCCTTCCTCTTATAAAAGAGGGAGGAAGGGGGAGAAGTCACTGAGGGGCATCAGTGGTGTCATCTTCCCCTTCCTTGTTCTACCCGCTGAAAAGTAAGACACTACATGAGTACTTCCACCAGGGAGAGAGCATGGGGGGGGGAAGGGTCTGGGAAGTCTGATGGGGGGCGAAAGGGGAAGGAGGGCTCAATGTGGGTCCAGTCTTTAAAGATCAATCTATAATCCCTTGCTCCCTCCACCAATTCTTTTTTGCTATTGGGGTCATCTTTGGACCCTTCTACTTTTGCGATCCACCCCTCCCAGAAGTTAGTAATTGCTCATTTCACATCCCCAATCTGTTGGAAGATGTCGAGTTGGGGTTTTAAAGCAAGCCATCTGCGCATTAGTTCTAGCTGAACTTGCTGTTGAATCTGATTAGTAACCTCTGCCCCCTCCAAACATACCTTTTCCATGTCCAAAAGGCACCGCTGCCACCATAGTGCCCATAGCACCGCTCGCCTCCCTAGCCTGTACATGTTTTCTGCGAAGGCTGTGTCCCCTTGTTCTGGCCAGTGACCTACCAAGATCGCCTGCCAGGACCATGGCCAGGGTATTGCCATTCCCATTTTTCTCCACACCCTGTCCCACCATCTCCAAGTGAATTGTGCAAGCGGGCATTGCATAAAGATGTGCTCTATTGTTTCCGCCTTCTTGCTGGGTGGGAAATCCTGAGGCACCACGAGCACCAGGGCGATGCCAGCCCTTTTTGTTCCAGGTTAGTATGGTCTATCAGCCAGTCGTTGGTTGGCAGGCAGCGGTGCGCTATTTGCCATTGCAACGACGTAACTTTCGCTGGTTTAAACTTCCGGTCCTGAAACCATTTTATTGGTGTAAGCTGACTGCGGTCCACATTCAAGTGTTTAGCCCATCGGTCCATGATTATGTCCCTCAAATTGCACTTGGTTCGCATCAGTCGATATGTAGATTTAACTGTTAGTTTGTGTAAAGTAATCTGTTTGGAGACGTGGGGGGGGGCTGTAGGCTTTTGGGAAGTTTCCCATTGCCATTCCAATGGGTCAAAAGCCAGCTCATGAATGCTCTTCTGCGGATGAAAGGCCGTGTATTCCTTCCCATCCTCTAGAACTCTGATGTGGGTTCCCAGTCTCTCCATTTGAAAGGGGCTCTACTGCCTTGCAGCCTGCCAGCTCCCGTAATGTCGTAGAACTCTATCAGAGCTTTTTGTGAGTCAGTCGTGTGGACACGCCCCACCCGGTTTAGGTCATGTCTCTCTGCCACCCAATCTCCTTCGTTAAGGGTAGGACCCTTCCTCAGGATTCTATACCAGGCGAGGGGGATTATCTCAATCAGTGCTTCCGCGTGCTGCTCAGTGTGATGACAATAGCGAAGGGATTCTCTCAGTTGTTCCACAGTTTTCCAGCTCTTCCTTTCACTGTCCCACAAGTCCCTGACTCTCATTATTCCCCTTTTAACCCAGGTTTTCCAAGGTGCAGTGGAGCTATTTCTAACATGGCCTTGGGAATCTGTGAGCCGCACCAGTGGGACCTCCTTCCTTTCCCCTACCCATCCTCCTCTAGTCCCCTTACCCCTATACATTTTCCGGCTCGGCCCTTTTTTTTAAAAAGAGAAAACTAGGGCGCGGTCAGGGTTAGAGTTTGAAAATACGGGGCTCGCCACACAGGCTTTCGAAACGTGCAAAATCGAGGCCGTGTCTTCGCCACCCAGCCTTTCGAAACCAGTTCTTTTCGAAAAAGTTTCGAAAGGTGTGAGATGGGCCGGCGTCGAAAGTCTTTACGAAGAGATGAGATCCTCCCGCCTGTCACAAGCCTTTCATCGGGAGACCTGGAGTGGTCTTTTGAAAAGGCCCACTCGAAACGGTTGAGATCGGTCGGCAAAAAAAAAAAAAAAAAAAAGGGGCGATCCAAGGGCCCGGCTCCACTACTCTCGAATGCACAAACGACAAAAATTATGGCGAAGTATCTTTCCATGTTCTAGGCAAAGATTCAGACTCTCGTTTTACACGCCTAGTGAGCAATGAGCCAGGCCCTAATGTGCATATATCCAAAGGCCTGGGTGTTTCGAAAGTCTGTGTGGCGAGGGGGGGGGTTCCTTTCGACTAGCAGACTTTCGAAAAAAGTCTGACACCTTTCAAAAAATGCCTTCGTTCGAAAGCCTGTGTGGCCAGCCCCTACGTTTCAAGCTTCCGTTTTGGAGTTCAGTCCCCTCTGAAGTTTACACTGCAGGCCAAACTCCCCCGTCACGTGGCTGTTGCAGGGCAGAATTTGTAACTGCAGTCTAGTCATCCACGTTGGAGGGCCAGGCCGTTTTCCAAAAAAAGAAAGAAGAAACAAGAAGAGAAAAGAAAAGATAGTGGCGGGGTACCTTTCCATGTTCTAGGGACTATTCACTCTCAGTTTCCACAATTGATATGGAAATGTGCCAAACGAGAGTGAATCTTCTCTAGAACATGGAAAGAT